GGGGGGATCAGAAGGCATTGGGGGAGTCACTGTTCCCCCGAGCACAGCCAGGAGTGACCAGGAACAATGGTCACAAGCTGGCAGAGGGTAGGTTTAGGTTAGACATCAGAAGGCGCTATTTCACGGTCAGGGCGGCTAGGGTCTGAAACCAACTTCCAAGGGAGGTGGTGCAGGCTCCTACCCTAGGGGTTTTTAAGAAGAGGTTAGATGAACACCTTGCTGGGGTCGTTTAACCCCAGTACTCTTTCCTGCCATGGCAGGGGGTCGGACTAGATGATCTTCTCAGGTCCCTTCTGACCCTAGAAACTATGAAACTATGAAACCATCGGGCCAGTAGACTAGGATCTTTGGGTGTGGGAAATTTTTGTGGCTCTTCTGTGGAAGGAAGAGCAGTTCATGGAGAAGACTAATAGGTTAACCTTAGAGGCAATATACTGATATGTCATAACACGTCTAGAAATCCTGCAGGACTATGGAGCGGTTCTCCATCTGGAGTTTCGGAGATCTCTCTGGAAATCAGAACTCTCCCTGGACCTGCCACTGACTTATAACCTGGGATAGGTGCCTGCGTTCCTGGCCTCCATTTCACCCCTTTGCAGAATGACGATAAAACCTTGTCCCGGCCAGAACTCTGTGATGCTTCTAAAGTGCATTGAGAGCCTCAGCCAAAGGGTACTCTAGAAGTGCAAAGTATCAGGATTATTCCTACACTAAATAATGGGTATCAAGCAGGGAAAGACTTTGCTTCCAGAGGGTATCTACTATTAATGAAATCCTGGCTTCACTGTGATCAACAACAAAACTTCCATTGACATAAACGAAGCCAAGACAACACTCCTTTCACCTACAGCTTCAGCTTTAACCTGGGCCTGGATTTACCCTCTTTATTTCAGATCTCCTAGAGAAGTCCCGTGTCATTTCCCAGCAGGCAGCTGAGAGGGGCTATCACATCTTCTATCAGATCCTCTCCAAAAAGAAGCCTGAACTTATTGGTATGGCTTTTTCTGATTGTATCCACTGCTTTTCATTCAGGCTCCCCTGATACATCCTTTGTTTCCAGAACAAGGGATGTGTTCACCAGAGCCTTGCTAATCAGTGAGCAGGCTATCTCAGAGGGAGATCTCTTAATGAAGAAACTAAAGAGAGGGAGGGGGGACTTGTCAGGGAGCTCTGCTCAGCCAGGCCCCCCAGGTTGTGCTTCCCATTCTTTAACCCCCACCGCTTTCTGCTCTAAGGTGCACTGATGGGTCTTGGTTGCTTTGGGTAGGTTTAGTGCTAAAGTAAGGTTTACCACCTTCAGCCTGAAAGGAGCAACTGCTGGAACACATAGATGGCTTACTTCTTCAGACAGGAACGTCTGAGGTTTTCAGCGCTCCCATTTATTTGAATGGGTGCCTGAAAATCTCATTCCTAGAGGGATCTATGTACAACCATTGGCCCAGCACAGGTACTATTAGGTAGCTGTGCTGATGGCAAGGTCATGGCATGTAATCTGTTCCTTACTTGCCTCTCTCCACAGAAATGTTGCTTCTGGTGCCTGATCCTAACCATTACCACTGGATTTGTCAAGGGGTGACCACTGTAGACAACATGGATGATGGGGAGGAGCTGATATGCACAGATGTAAGTCCTCTGAAGAAATATAAATGATGGCAAGCACATGGCGAAACACAGTGCTATCATGGCTCTCTCTAGAAATAAGGTGCAGCTATGTTGTGCATCAAGGGTTAACACCACTTGCATGGGCGGCGCTGGGACCCTGGGCTCCAGAGGAAAACTGAATGGATTTAAATGAAATGTCTAAGATGTTCAGACCCCTGAAGAGGATCTTGTTGCTAATGGGAGCTTCCAGCAATTTTAAATGAGGGAGAGAGAGGAGGGTGGCGAGAGGGGTTGAAAATCTCAGCCAGGCTGTCACATTTAAGTCAGGGTGTGACATTGTTCAGATGACTTCTGCCATGGAGCTGATCTCAGTAGGCTGTGAAATCACGTTAGCTGTCCAGAGTAAGAAGCAGCTCCAGTCCTGCTGCTTATGTTGTAGATTTAAAGAGTCCTTCCTGTGGGTCTTCTCCCCCTTTGCCAGGTGGCCTTTGATGTTCTGGGCTTCACTTCAGAAGAGAAGCAAGGTGTCTACAAGCTGACTGGCGGCATCATGCATTTTGGCAACATGAAGTTCAAACAGAAGCCAAGAGAGGAGCAGGCAGAGGTAGACAGCACCGAGGGTAGGTTGTGGTCTCTGCGTTCGGTCAAAGACAACAGCCAACAGAATAGTGGCTCCGAATATTTGGCCCATTCAGTGAAATCAGAGACAAGCTGCTGAGGCCAGAGCTCATTTCCAGAGGGCAAAAATTCACTTTAAGTGGCGGGCTGCAGCTGCACATTCAAAGGGAGCAGACGTGTGGTCAAGAGTCAGAACTGGTGTGCACAGAGGGGGCACCAGGTTGCCAGCTAAGCACTTCTTGTAGTCATGGCCCAGCATGGCATAATGCCTCCTGGAGCTCACAGGCACGCAGAGGCAGAGAAGCCACTGGAGGCCACCTCTACTGGCTGTGTGCTATGTTCTCCGCTCCAACAGGGCTGGCCACTCTGCTGACCAATACTTACCTGGCAGGGGAAATGCCATGTATCTGGGTTCAAGAAGGCTGTTTTCCTTCAGCATTCCTGGGGATAACCTTTCTTCTGGCCTGGTTTAGTACCCACCAAGGTGTTGGGACTTAAAGCCCACCTTATGGACATGGGAGGCTACTCCCTAGCTTGTTCCTACGGCTATATGGCTGAGGGCAGACGAAACTTGGGGACATCCGAACCCCAAGCCTCTGGGCTTGGGCCTGCATGTAGGATGCTGGCCAAAAGACTCTGGAAATATCTGAAGCCCCTGGTGGGGGTGGAGGATGTTTGCCGGTTGTAGGGCCACTGATGGTTCTGGACTGACTCATGAATTTGGGCTTGATTTGGCTGATTTGGCTTGGAACATGAAAAATGTCTTAAAAAAAATTGTGGGGAGACACCTCTGGTGAGTTAAGATCAAGTGTAGGGTGTACCTGAAGTCCTGGACTTAAGAGTCTGGGATGAAGGATGCTTGCCTGGAATATCTGGAGGCATCCGAACCCCAAGACCTCTGGGCTTGGGCCTGCATGTAGGATGCCTTCCAATGGATTTGGGAGTATCTGAAGTCCCAGGGTGATCGGTCTGGGACAGAGGATGCTCGCCGGTTGTAGCGCCGTATGTGGTGTCTAGAATGATTGAGTTCTGCCTGCTCAATTGATATCGTTTTTGGAACGACTGAATTCTGCTCAATCGATATGATTTGGAACCAATTTAGCTAATTAGACCTGGAACACTAAATATATTATAAAAAAAAAAAATAGTGGGGAGACAGAAGTGTTGCCCTGCCCTCCCAGAGCCATTCTGGAGTGCCACGGTCACCACAAGGTTGCAGGGAAGAAGGGCTTGTACTTCTCAGAGAGCTGCAACCTTTTTCTTGTATATGCTGAAATACATGAATAGGCAAACTATAGATGTTCCACCACCCGTCAGTTAACGAGTTCCTTTACTCTTGCACAGTGGCTGACAAAGTTGCTCACCTCATGGGCCTCAACTCTGGGGAGCTCCAGAAGGGCATCACCAGGCCCCGGGTGAAAGTGGGCAATGAGTTTGTGCAAAAAGGCCAGAACTTGGAACAATGTCAGAACTCCGTTGGTGCCCTGGGCAAAGCTGTCTACGACAAGATGTTCAAGTGGATGGTGATCCGGATCAACAAGACCTTAGACACCAAGATGCAGAGACAGTTCTTCATTGGGGTGCTGGACATTGCTGGCTTTGAGATCTTTGAGGTATACCAAGCAAAGGAACCTCTTTCTGCAATGGGACCCTGTCACTTAGTGAAAAAAATGTTTCCTTATTAGCCTTCCCTCCTTTAAAATGTTAGCCTTGGTATCGGTGAACGCATTAGCATATCCCGCTACTGCCCAACAGGATCTGGCACTCAGTTAGGAGCATCAAACAGAGAGTTCTCCTGGAAAATAATGAGCACAGAGCATAGAGCTCATAATGAAGGAGTGAGAGACCACGTTGGGTCTTACTGTGGCCTGGACCCAGGGCTCTGCACTAGGAAAAGGAAAGCACATATTTTGCAGGCACTTGTTAGATCGCCTGCTTCCTCTGGGGCCCTCCCCCCACACTGTGAGTTGAGGGAAATGGCAATGGAGAATGAGGTATTTGGAGAAGACCAGACACAATGAAAACAACACCGGCACGTTCACCTATGGCCAAATTCCTATCTCACTTACTCCTCAGAGGGCATCTGGCATAACCACTGGCATCAGCAGAGTTACTCTGGGGTGGCGATGGTCTAAATGAAATAGGAACTTGACCCTTAACATTAATGAAGTGTTGCTGTCTGGCAGCCATGTGGTATGGGTAGGGTCTGGGGACACACGTCAGGGGCTGATGGACGTACACATTGCTCAGCACCTTACTGTTCCCCTCCTCTCTGCAGTTCAACAGCTTTGAGCAGCTGTGCATCAACTTCACCAACGAGAAGCTGCAGCAGTTCTTCAACCATCACATGTTTGTGCTGGAGCAGGAGGAGTACAAGAGGGAGGGGATTGAATGGCAGTTCATTGACTTTGGCCTGGATCTGCAGGCTTGCATTGAGCTCCTGGAAAAGGTAACCTTCCCAGCTGCCCTGATAAACTGGGGTGTGAAGAGCATGATTTCTCCATGCCTGGTTGCACAGAACGACATGATTAGAGATTAACTTAGTGGCTGGTGGCAAATGCAGCAAGGTGACATCCTTGCAAGGGGTGAAGACACCCCTCTGTGAAGTCCCAGCCCCAGCTGCCTACTGAGAAGGCAGTGATGTACTTTTCTGATCCTTTTCTCCCTGGTGATCCTTTTCCCCCGCTACAGCCCATGGGCATCTTCTCCATCCTGGAAGAGCAGTGCGTGTTCCCGAAGGCCACGGATGCGACTTTCAAGGCTGCCCTCTATGACAACCACCTGGGCAAGTCACCCAACTTCCTCAAGCCCAAAGGAGGCAAGGGCAAGGGAGCTGAAGCCCACTTTGAGCTGGTGCACTATGCTGGCACAGTAAGTGCAGAATACTGTGATTTTTATTGTCATCATGTCCGTCCAGATCTGGGTCCTCACAAAGACTCAGACCTGCTCTCACTGAGGGCAATGAAAAAACCCTCATAGGCTTTGGTGGGAACAGAGTTAAATCATTTTCATGCACAAAGCACATTAAACTTGATACATGACAGCACATTGCACTGCATGGATTAAACTCCTTGTTGGAGTAAATTTGAGGAGCTCTGGTGGCTTCAGTTGAGTCATACCAAATCACCCAAGTAGGAAGTTTGGGTCCCCCGATGAAATGCCCTCTGGACTAGAGGACTTCATGAGGTCCCTTCCAGTCCTACTTTCCTATGATCCTCTCCTCCTCTCAAAACTCATCCCAAGTTGCCTTTACTAGAACAACAAATGAGATAAATTAAAAGCATCAGTTGGGCAACTGGGCGATCAATGATTCAACAGTCAGGCACTTTAATGGGTTATGAGTAGCAAGCCTGTCTCTTCAACACACATGGGTTGACACTGATTAAAAATTAAATCCCTACAAAATCATTTTGCAAGAATCCCCCTGGGGCCAAGACTTTGTTTTTTGGGGACATAGAGCCTCAGAGGTCGGTTACAAGGAAGGCCCTTTGGCCAGCGGGTTAAATTAACGGTTGGGTTGGTTTCTCAAATGCTGCTGGCATTCTGGTGCTCCCCGTGGCTTATCTAGCCTTTCTTGGGGCACGTGACATGAACATTGTAGCTTCACTGCTGTGTTGTCAAGCAGCCGTGCTAATGCTTAGCAGCAGGAACGGTATTTATGCATATTACAAAACTCTGCCAGGTCCCCACACACTTGACTGAGTGGATGTACTGACAAAACACCATCAGAGCATGAATCACAGGGGCCTGTGCTCTAGTCTTATTTCTACTGAGCAGCTTTTTCCATCCCCTGATAGCAAGCAGGTTGTTGAAGGCAAGAGTGCCTTCCCATACCCAGATCCACACAACTCCAGTGAGTTAATGCCAGCCCTGTATCAGCATTTACTTTTTATGCTTCCTCTTCTTGAAGTAGATTTCTTCCCCCTTACTGAGAGGTCAGTGACCAACGGAGAAGCTTCTCCTCACGAACACACAATGGCAGAGAATCTGGAGCGTTCCCTTTGTTCCCCTCTCTCCAGGTCGGGTACAATATTACTGGGTGGCTGGAGAAAAACAAGGACCCTCTGAATGAAACAGTGGTGGGCTTGTTCCAGAAATCGGGCATGTCACTGCTCTGTGTTCTCTTTAAAGAGGAGGAGGCAGCAGCAGGTATGTAAGCACAACCCAGTCCAAGCATTGCTATGAGACTGCAAACAAATGTGGTCAGTGGAAATGGAGGTCACCCCACATCTCATGTGTGTCCCCGTAACATTTTCTATGGGGAGCAAATAGGCGTGCACACTGTACCCAGGGAAAATTAGTGGTGCGACAAAACGTAATAATAGACTGCTGCTTTATTGCGGTGGGCATCCCTTAGCTCCGTGGTGGGAGAGTACGAGCGGTCTGAGCTGCTCACACTCTCCAGCCACCCTGGGCAGGTGCTTTCGGGGTGTAAGGGCCCCTCAAGCCTTGGCCCACTTTCCCTGCTTACAGAGAGGAACATGGGGAATCTTGGGGTGCCTCCATACGCCCCACTTTCCCCACGCAGCCAGACCTGCTCCCCACGATCGCAGAGAACGGGTCTGGCTGAGTGGGGAGATCAGATCACCCCTTGTCCTGCACCAGCAAGAGTGGGACAAGGGGGAACGTGTGTTTCACCCAATGGGATCTGCCCATTTAGCAACATGAGTGTTTTTCCCACAAGTGTGGACAAGATTAGGCCTGAGGATACTCAGGTAACAGACTGTGCCTGCCTCTGCGATTCATCCATGCAGAAAAATGATCCAGCTCTGTCCTTGAAAATCACACCCTTCTAGCACTACCAGAGGTAGCCGGCGTGCCCTCATGTGGAGTGCCTTCAAGACTTTCTAGACTGTTGCCCCTGGAGCACGATTGCCTTTGAGAGAAGTATGGGTGCAGCACAGGGCTAATGGCACGCTACAGTCCCCTCTGCTGAGAAGTGGCCTTCTGCTGACCAGACAAATGTCAAGTTTCTATCAACCAGGAAAAACTTGCTGCCTAGAAGGGCCGTCATCAGCCCAGCCTAGAGCACTGCCATTAAACAGGTGAACAGGAAAGAGCTTTATGGAAAGGTTTTTAAGATCCTCAATTATCAACAGACTGGGCTATGTTATCCCCTGGGTTACAGGTGTACGCCTCTGTCGAATGACAGAGCAGTGCACCAATGGGATGGAGCAGAGAATTTGGCTCAGTTTGCGTTTGTAATGACAACCCATTGGAACAGACTTGATTAATCAAATGTGGTGGGGTGTGGTAATTACCGCACTCCAGCAGACTCCAGCGGCATGTGTATTAGCATCCCTGCACTGAAGAACAGAGGCAGAGGGAGCTCTAACTAAAGCTCATCGAACGAGCTTTCGTTAAAGTGCCCCTGCCACCATTTTTCAGTGTAGGGATGCTGATACATGAGACACTCTCATTGCTGCTCAAATTAAAGTGCTCCTCCCTCCCCTCCTGGAGCACATGCAAAAACACCCATAGTTTACTCCTTTGTTTCTTTTCCAAGGGCTAACTTCAGTCTGGAATACAGGGCTCCCTTACGGGTGTAAATAAGTGAAAACAGCCCAAACCAGAGCAGAGTGTGGGCTCAGTCAGCACTTGTTCTTTATTCAAAGATTGTTTTATGCAGGGAGAACCATGCTGCTAGCTAACAGCCCCTAATGAGCTGTATCTGTTGTAAATGCCACAGTCTATAATTTCCATATCCTACATGTGTGATGCATGTTAATCTTGTCTTCAGGTGCTAGTACCAAGAAGCAGAAAAGAGGATCTTCTTTCATGACTGTCTCCAACTTCTACAGGGTAAGTGGTCATTCTCTCCTCACCCCTTGCCTATCCCCCTGCGCTGTTACAGCCTCCTTTACTGTGGTAGTCAAGCACCTCCCAGCCTTTTGAATGTGCTTTTCCCCACAGCCCCTGTGAGCTAGGGCAGTGTTAGCATCCCATTTTCCCAGATAGGGAACAGAGACATCGAAAGACTAAGGTCACAGCTGTGCTGCTTTCCTGATGAACCCTGCTGCCAAAAACCAGCCTTGCTTGCTTAGTCTGTCTACAGGCATGTGTTTTGGCAGTGAAGGCAGGTTCAATGGTATCTGAGCACATGCCCCATCTGCATGCATGCCCGGTGCTGCTCGCATGCTCTCGATCTCAGTCACACAGGAGGCCTGTAGCAGACTAGGGAACTGAACACTGGTCTGATCAACATTGCCTACCATTTCTACAGCACTGACACCATCCTGCCTGCTTCTCCATAAGGCTGATGCAGTACGTTCATTTTACCTAGGTCCCCTGCTACTGCTAGACATGGAGCAAACACCTCTACACCTCTCGGCATAGTTTTGGCTTGAAGATCATTAGTGAGATGAGGAAGATTATAAGGGAAAAAAAGAAACCTTTGGGTATGCCTGGGGGTTCACAAACTGGAATCCAGCTGACAAATTTGGGTCAAGTGAGCTCCAGGCCCGATTCAGATGATCTTCACTTGCTTTTATTATGCATCATGCTGCTGTTCCCTCCACTCTTGATTGCTAGCGGCCTCTGACGCCCATTAGAGTTGGATCAGGTTGCTATGCACTGCCTTTCCTGTTCATCTTTTTTTAATCAACATAACATGCTAGATAAATGTGTTGATTCCAGCCCTAGTAGCAGATCAGGGCCTCCTCCTATGACCAGTTCACGAAGTTATTCTTTTGGATCCAGAGATATGAGTCCAGGCTCTTCATGGTTTGTTGTTTGTATTGAGGTGATGCCTGAAGGGATGGCTGTGAACAAGGGAATAAGGAGCAGTCATAGGACACCAGCTGTCTTGAATAATCTCAGCTACCTTTAAAGGGGAAAATCTAGGGTTCAGACCCCCAAGGGGTCATTCCACTTCCAAGCCTGCCATGCTCTTCATTTGGCTGTGAAGCATCACAACTGGCATTCACATTGTATGGCAGCTGTTGAGGAGTGTTCAATTCACTGGAGACAAGGTGATATGTCTTCAGCTTTTCTTACTCATTGCATGTTTTCTCTGGCTTCAGGAGCAGCTAACCAAGCTGATGACCACTTTGCACAGCACAGCCCCCCATTTTGTACGCTGCATTGTTCCCAACGAGTTCAAGCAATCCGGTAAGTGTCTACAGCACCTCTGAACTACATGAAGGCAAAGCAAGGCAGTGCCTTCAGGACTAGCTTTGGCTGACTGAGCAGCACATCTCTACCCAGTAATGAAAGAACAGGGGTCACCGCTTCACAGAACACCTCTACGTCCCTTCAAGGTAAAGTAGCATCAGACGAGATACCAAGAGACAGATCTATAGGCAGGATGGCTAATGAGCCCTGCATCCCTTTGTAGAAATCCAGTGAACAGGGAAATACAAGGCCCTGGAGCACACAAATTGGTGTCATTAACAGTGAGACTGCATTCTCTCTGACTTACAACTTCATTGCAGGATTAACTATGAAAAAGAAGCCTCCTGTTTCCACACATGTCTTTTTCATGTAGTAAACTAGCAAGGAATGGAACAGAAACCACTAAACAGCAAAAGGACTTCTGTTAATGCCTGGTTAGCCACGATATATCGCTTTACCGCTTTGATGACTACTGAGAATACAGTTGTGTTGATGAAGGCACTAGGCACTTCGCCTCCCAGACTTTCCAGGAGCCACTGGACTCTCAGCAGCACAATAACTACCCAGGGATGAGCATGATAGAGCAGGTCCCAGGCTCCAATGAGGGGTGGGTGTTGAACATTTCAGGTTGCATTGTACCCTGCAGTAAAATGCAAGGCACCCTGGTTACAGTCCCATCTCCTCCACTTCTGTTCTCCCCAGTCTGTTTCCAGAATGAGAGACCTCTGTGTCATTAACCTGCCCTGTCCCCCTTCTCTGTGTAACTGCTGGCAAACTTCAGGAGAAGCTCCAATTCTTGTGCTCCTTTCTAGCTTGGTTAGGTGAAACACTGACTCCTGTTCTGTGCGCTTCCTTTTAGGGGTGGTCGATGCTCACTTGATATTGCATCAGCTGGCCTGCAATGGAGTACTGGAAGGCATCCGTATTTGCAGGAAGGGCTTTCCTAACAGGCTGCAGTACCCTGAATTCAAACAGAGGTGAACTTTATTTTTTTGTCCATGCATCCCTTATCCTTTCAAGGGACAGGCCCACATGATAGCCTGTCTGATGCATTTTCTCCTTGGAAGATGAGGAAATAGAGGAGTTAAGCTCCATTTGCTAATAATCCTCTTTGAACCAACCCTAAGAAAGAGGAGGCCTAGAGATGGCTGCCAAGTTCCTCCTAGTCTGCAATCCAGCATTATGTCTTTTGGCAACCTCTGTTGGAAGAGACTGACTGGAGTAGATGCCAACCCTTGCCTAGCTCTTCTATACTGTCCCCCACCATAAGTCTTACAACATGATGCATGTCTTTCTCATTTTATAGATACCAGGTCCTGAACCCCAGTGTGATCCCTCAAGGATTTGTGGACAATAAAAAAGCATCAGAACTGCTGCTTGGCTCTACTGGCCTGGGAGACGATGAATACAAAATTGGGCACACCAAGGTACTATTTACTCCTACTAACTTCAGCTAAACCAGTCTAAGACTAAGACTCAATTTAAGTGTGTTGGCATGGGAAACGGTACTGATTTAAGATGATTTAAAAATGAGCTGCTTTGCGTATATGATAAGGACATAGAGTTGAGATTTCTACAGTAACCTTAACTCTGCACCTTCAGGCAGAGATTGTCCTCAATTAATTACACAAACGTGCAACTTTAGACAATGTCGTATAATGAAATAATGCAATGCAGAATAATACAAAGCATGCTTTTAGGCCTGGGCTAAAGTTTACGCACTTGTTACTCGTAAATTGAGGGAAAAAACCCACTGACTGAGAACTTTTCCTGATTGAAGACTAGGTTAAAAGATTTTGGCTTTTGAATTTCTAATCTTATTAGAGCATGACAACAGTTTGCGTTTCTGCCTGTGTCATAATGGGAAAGGCTATAGTAATGGACGTGCAAAGGGGGAAGTTCTGCTGTCCTAAATTTGGTAACACTCAAACACTTTCCACGTCTCCTTTAACCTTCAATTCCAAAATACCTGATGGCCTTTCAATTAATTACATCTTGCTCCATCTTCATTTTACAACTAAGCAAGCCTAGCTAGAAAGAGGGTAAGTGACTTGGGCTAAAGTACAAAAAAAGTCAGTGCTAGAAACAGAAATGGACCCCTGTACTACCTGTTTATAAAATTCCTAACTTTCATATGCTATCCACAGACAGAGACAAAAGGAAAAGGAAATATCACTGAGCAAGCCTCGATAATTGGAAATGTCTATCATAGACAGGAGTGCAACAGTTCACTGTCCATCCTAGTTCTGGGGTCAGGCTGGCGTGCCGAGTTCCCATAGTCTTTTCTTGCTCCCCAAGGTGTTCTTCCGAGCTGGAGTGCTGGCCAAGCTGGAAGACATGCGAGATGACCGTCTAGCAAAGATCATGACCATGCTACAGTCCCGTGGTCGTGGCTACCTGATGAGGATTGAGTACAAAAAGATGCTGGACAGAAGGTATCCCTTTCAAGTATCAGAACTCGACCATGTATCTTAGGGGGCTTTAGAAACTATGATGCGTACCAGTTGCTGTTAGGTATTGTGCAATGATACCCGGACTTCAGTCTCTTCATTTTGGTACACAGCCAGAGTTACAGGGCAGCCTACGAGACATCTCCCTGGGGACCAGGATGCTAACACATCCTTGCTTTCAGGCCTCACGCAGTGGAGCCGTGCTACAGCAACAAAGCCACAAGAGCTCCACTGCCTCCTTTACATCCACGCCACAGGGTGTAATAGTTGGGAGTAGACCTACATAGTAATGGACCTACAAGCCCTCTGTTGAGATCCCACTGTAACCCGTGATGCAGTGAGCCTCTTGACATACAACCCCATGATACACAGAGTGCAGTCTTAGTATTTTTCTCCCAACCTGTGCAACAAAACTGTGGGGTTTCTGCTGCTTCCAGGGACCCCTGTGGCTGCAAGATGAAGGAGCAGGGGAAGAGAAGCAAGAACATCAGATTATTTTCTTGCTGATGCACTCTATACATTTCCTCCAGCATGTTAAAATATGATTCCTTACTTCAGTAGCAGCATTCTTTCTATGCCAATACAATCCTGTTGCTCTTTCATAAGAACATAAGCAGTGCCATACTGGGTCAAAAAAATGGTTGATCTAGCTCAGGATCCTGTCTCCAACAGTAGCAGAAGTGGATGCTACAGAGGGAGAGCATTGAACCAGATATCTCTAGAGTGATCTCTCCTCTATTTAGTACCGTCCCTGGCATCCAATATTATAGGTTTAGGGATGCCAGAGGAAACCTCTCCAACCATTCTGTTTAATAGCCTTTAATAAATCATTCATTAATTTTTCCAGTCTCAGAATACCGCCACTAACCTTGTTTGCATCTGGAAGAATAGTGCTTTAGCCATTCCTACTCCTCTCAGGCATGCAGACCAGGTAGGGTTTCACCCCACTGATAGAGCAATGCCTACCCTAACAGTATACCTGAGGCAAGAACGCACAGTGCAGTGTCTGTGTACCA